TTTCATGTCATTGACCTATTGAAGACTGTTTTCACTTGGAGTAAGCCAGACTTCTAGGCTTAAGTACCAGCTCCCATGAGCAGGGGTAGGAGTGTGGAACCTGGTTGCTAGGTAAGTCCCAAATACAGGCCAAAGTGGGAGGGGGGAATTGAAACCCCATTCCTTTCTCTGACTCATTTCTTACTTTGTTGTAACTTTATGCTCGCTGAAGCAAGTTGGGTTGTGAGGTTGTTTTATGTTTGTTTGTTTGTTTGTTTGTTGTTTTTGCTTTTCACACCTGAAGACTGTACACTTCTAAAGGGGTAGGGACCACATCTTATTGTCAGTGCATCTGCCCCTAATGCCTGGAAAGTCCTAAGTCCTCAGTAACTATCTTAGTTTGAGGTCAGTGATCAGGATATTTTCTTATGGGTAATGCGATCACAAGAGTCTTATGAAGGAGCGTGTCCTAAAGGCTTGAGTGAGGGACAAGAGGCTGCACAGAAATAGAGGGCAAGGGACACATTACAAAAGGGGAGAAGAAAGAGAGAAAGGAAGGCAGGTGCTGACCTTTGAGTCAGTTTGGCAAGAGACAAAGTTCTGCTTACTTTGCCTCCCCTACACCTGGGGGCCAGCCCCACTCCAGGTGTTTCTGCTGATTGAATACCAGCCTGGCCCTCCAGCAAATGTCAGCACTCAGGTATTGCAGCGTCTCTGCCCTACTTAACTGTTGACATCCCTGTGGTTGAGGTTGGAGACTAGCCCCTGGCAATACAGGGATTAGCATTCTGTCTTTTCATGACAGAATCTTCTGGGCCTACATCAACTCCCTCTCCATTCTCTATCATCCTTGTAAATTGTTTTCTCCAGGATTTTTCCTAGATTAACTTTCAATAATGTGTGCTTTTTCAGTTTCCTCCCTCTATTTCCTCCTGCCACCCGCCCCCCCTATAAAAAGGAAGTAAGCTGTTGAGAAGACACTCAAACTACAGAGAGTTGATCTTTACATACATTTTTCCTCTTAGCAGTAGATCCCATCCCTTGCTTTTGAATTTTAAGGCTTAAAATATCATGGGCTTTCACAGGATAGTAGTTGTATTTTTAATAACTATTGATCAATAAATATATAATAAACTCAAGGACTATGGGTGCACATCATGGCAGCATACAACATGCCATTTGAAAAAACATATGTAGAAGCACATTATGCATTCCTTTTAGACAGTGCTTGGGTCATGTAGGAATTTCCAGAACCCTTGTAATAAAGTTACCCCCACTTGCCAGCAGTTTGCTGCCTACAGGTTGGAAACAATGACTTGTTTGCTTTTTTCAAAATGGAAATTGATTTACTGTTTTTCCTGATTATAAAAATAATCCATGTAAATCATAAAAATGTCAGACTACTCAGAAAAGCATAAAAGGAACAAAGGTCACTCATAATCTTGCCACCCAGAAATAACCACTGTTAATTGTCAAATCAACATACTGGTATCCCTCTTTCTTCCCCCTTTTCTGCACAAAAATGGATATAGATAGAGTTCACTGTGAAGAGTTTGGGCTCTTGGCTTCAACACATCTAGGTTTGTATCTTAGCTCTGCCACTTAAGTGAACGATGGCAAATTACTTCTTAGTGCTGCAGCTTCCTCACCTATAGAAGAATGAGTATAATGCCTACGTACATCATAGGGTTGCCATGAGGATAAAGTAATTAATGTAAAACACTTTACTTAGTGTTTTGCTCATATATATGCTCATATTTGAAGCTCACTCCATGTTAGTTATTATGTATAAGTTATTAACCAAACTAGAATAACATTATTTATAGTTTTGTGGCCTGCTTTTTCACCTAATTGTACATCGTGGATATTTTTATGTTAATTTTCTTCTATAACATTACACAGAACATTTCATTGTGTTGATATGCCATGATTCACTTAACCAACCTCATATTATGGAGGAAGCACTAATTTTTAGACATTCCTCTTCCACCACCTGGTCCGATTTCTAGGTCTTTTAATGGTAGGTGAAAAGTCACCGATCAGAAACCCTCACTAACCCACAGCCCTTTCTGCGGCACTGGCTCAGTTTCCTCTCCGCAGAAGGTTTTAGAATTTACTACTGCAGAAGGTGGGTCACTTCCTTGAGCCTCCATTAACCTGGGTAGGATCCAGGAACCAGTTAGCCCGGTCAGTGGAATTGGTCTCTCACTCCAAGGAGATAACTGGATCTGAAGAGAGAGTTTAAGCCTCTTATCTAAGCAGGTCTGGCTAACAGGTTTCATGAAGC